GGTTCTTTCCCTTTCGGGATCGATACCTTATATATTATTACTAATCGCTATTCAGCGTCACTGATTATTACATATTACCTCGTCGCTCATGCAATCAATGTTTTAAACTTTTAATTATTTCCCATGCATAACCCCGAATCACGCCATTCATGCATATCGGGATCATGACCCGATCATGATCCCTGACCCTTACCCTTGCGCTATGAATACTCGGGACCACGACAATAATACAGATATTATTTGATATTCATTATTAGGACCAACTATCGATCCTTTGATCCATCCTAAAAAGAATTGGAACGGCCTGATTCCTGGATGAACCGATAGATCGTTAGTCCGGACCGTATTTATTAACAGCCCTAGTTTTTGAAACTATCTGGAAATCAAACTCGAAATTTTATTGGTTGGCACTCACATTATTATTTACATAAACTCAATGCTAAGATTCTTTTGCTACACATTTAATTATTTCTCTATTGAATTTGGGTTAAATTGTCATAACCCATTTCTAAACTGAATTCGTTTTCAAGACATGTTCGAACCTAATCTTTTTTTTTTTTTTTTTACATATTTTTAATATGTATAGCCTCTTGATAATGACTAAATGGAATTTAAATTTCAATTAGAAATGTAATGGCTAATTTCACATTATTATTTTCTAACTAGATATATCATAAGGATTGATTATAAAATATGATCACAGTTCTAATTTGATTTTGATTTTATAAACTAATTAGTTTGCTACCATTATTTGCATTTATACAAAGTTTATGATGTTCTTAAATATTTTTACTTAAATTAAAATTTGATAATCATCTCACTCTTCAGAATTCTTCTGTTGACCGTTTTTTTTCATGTTCACATAACATTATGGAGCTTTGTTGTTAATGGATGGTCGAAAATTATTACAATTTATTTTTATTATTTGTTATTTATTGACTTATAATTACATAATACAGCTTTAAGTAGTTATTATCTGCATCGCATTCAACAATTATATTCAGAGTCGTAGAGATCTAAAATATGAAGTTACTTTCTGATATCGCCAATTATTGACCATTCTTAAGAAATTTTCGTTAAAATTACGACAAAAAAATATTAGAATTTTTACGAATATGAATAGAAATATCTCAAGAACAATCTAGCCATTTATGATATTCAAGAACAATTTCGACATTATTTCACTACTATAAAATTATGTTAAATTTGAATTTAAATAAACATGTCCAGACCATAATTATTCTTGTTTTAAAAAACGTTTATTCACTAATAATCTTATGATGTCTTGATTTTTATTCTATTTGCGTTCGGTAGGTTCTAAATATTTTAATTCCATGTTATATCTTCATTTTAAATGTGCTTAGTTTGTAGAAAAAAAATTATTTAAATTAAGCTTAATTGAGCTATTATTCTAAATAATAAGTTATTTATAATAATTCTCGAATTAAGCTTATTTGGCCAAAATTTGAAATTACCATAAATAGCCAGATACAAGATCCACCATGTCCTATACACGGATCTACAATATAGGATAAAGTTTTGATAAAATGTAAAAGACCCGGGTATACAAAAAGGAGAAAATATTATGAAAATAGAATAAGCCCTCAAATTATCAGTCCACGCCCATAAAAGAGGCCCGTGGGTCTAACTATAGGTTTTAAAATTGGTGAAATGTAACAGACCCGGGTCTTGTATCCAGCCATTTACGGTATTACTCTGCGAGTCATTTTGCGGCAATTCGGCATTTAAATATTCTTTAAGAGTCGTATTATATTTATATTTGTCATTGTTGTTTAAATTCAATGGTCTCAGAGAACGTTACATAAATTTTGAAAACATATATCATTAAAATTTGTGAACATTTGATAAAATTTTTAATATTGAAAGAATTAATTTTTCTTTATAAAGAATATCAAAAAACTTTTTAGAACATTAATAGCATAAAATCTGTTCTTTTTATTAAACAAATTCGAATTATAAGCACTGTTTGTCATAGACATTTAACGTTATAATAATAATAATCAAAACATTGCTAAAAAATATATGCAACATGTTTATACATTTACACTATCAACTCATGTCCAAGCTATTTTGTTAGTCGTTCTGGGATTATCCTACTCCGTGGACAACTCCAAATACATAAATATTATCTATAAATAATGTTTTTATAAATTGTAATTGCTTTGTTTTACTTTTTCTTTACGCTTTCATTTGTTGATTTTCCTTTTTTTATTATACTAAGTATTCCCAAATTTTGTTTCATTTTGAAACATTTCTGTCCAAAAAATTCTTGTTAAAATAGAAAATTTAGCAGTTTTTCCATTAACTACAATTAAGAATAATATTCTCATAAAATGATATGTTGAGACGGTAACTAGAAGCTTAGTTATTATGCTTTATTGATTTTTAAAATAATTTTGAGCCTCCATGATTAAGCTTGTATTAAATTAAGTTATTATATATTTGCTTTATCGTAATTCGTATTTTATTAGGGAATATTTCCATAAATTTTTACGGATTGGTACAGTAAAAAAATATATTAATCGTGGAGAATCCAGTGAATATTTGCATTAATCTGTGTATATCATTCAATAAACATCATTAAATTATAGCTTTAACTAAGATCAGGCACTATAACTCGAAATCTTACTTAAAATCTTTGTTTTTACAAATTTAAGCTAATGCTCTATCCTAATCCTATTTTAGCTCTAATTCTGAACCTAAAATTGTGTTTTGTATTTTGATTTCAATTGCACAGCTCTTATAATTAACCTCACAATATAACCTGCATAAATTTAAACTCAAATTAAAATTCCTTCTGATATCAGTATTGGCTTTTTATCAGATCTTTTATACACTAATTCCATATCGATAACATTATGAAAAACTTGACATTCTACTAGCGTTAACCATCTCTACAGATTTTTGATAATAAATGTATGCCTTATACTCATCCTTTTCAACCCCAATTCCATAAAGGTAACAATTCCCAACTTCTCTTATTCCATTAGTATACCCCATCTCTGCGGATTTTTGAAAGTAAATGAATGCCTTATAAACATCCTTTTTAACTCCAATTCCATCAAAATAACAACATCCAACATTATATGTTCCAGTAACGTTCCCTATTTCTGCAGATTTTTCATAATATATGAATGCTTTATGTTCATCTTTTTCAACTCCAATTCCTTCATCATAACAATATCCTACTTTAAGTATTCCATTAGAATTTCCCATATCTGCAGAATTTTGATAATAAACGAATGCCTTGTGTTCATCTTTTTCAACACCAATTCCTTTATCGTGACAATATCCAACATTATATACTCCTTTAGCATCACCCATCTCTGCAGATTTTTGATAATAAATAAATGCTTTATGTTCATCTTTTTCAACTCCAATTCCATATCGATAACAATATCCAACCATATATGCCCCTCTAGCGCATCTCATTTCAGCAGATTTTTTATAATAAATGAAAGCCTTATGTTCATTTTTTTCAATTCCAATTCCTTCATCATAACAATATCCAACATTAAATGTTCCATTAACGTACCCCATCTCTGCAGATTTTTGATAATAAGTGAATGCCTTATATTCATCTTTTTCAACACCAGTTCCTTCATCATAACAACATCCAACATTATATACCGCTACAGGGTATCCCATCTCGGCGGATTTTTGATAATAAATGAATGCCTTATGTTTATCTTTTTCAATTCCTTTTCCTTCATCATAACAATATCCAACATTACTTGTTCCAATAGCATTACCCATCTCTGCAGATTTTTGATAATAAATGAATGCTTTATGTTCATCTTTTTCAATACCAATTCCATTATTATAACAATATCCAACACTATTTGTTCCAAGAGAGTGACCCATCTCTGAAGATTTTTGATAATAAATAAATGCTTTTTGTTCATCCTTTTCAATCCATTTACCATAATGATAACAATTTGCAAGAATCATTTGAACCGTAGGATTAATTTGATCATTTAAACAAAAATTAATAATATTAACTGGATTTTGTTTCTTATTTATTAAAAATTGTTCTAATGTATCAAGAGCCGAACGGGAATTTATGACTTTCAACCTTTTTTCATTATACAAATTACACATTTCTTTAACAATTTCACTAAGAAAATCCTGGAAAAAACCCTGCGGTTTATTTTCTTCAAAGTACATTTGAGTAGTATTGTTGGTCATTTGAATAACATTTGATGAACTGCCGATTTCTTCTGGCTGATATTCAATTAGGTTATTGTAAATTGACATTTTTAGAGTAATGTTGCTTATCATTGTGGAAACATTAATTTATTTTATTATACGCATATACATACGTACGTATGTAACACAATAAATTGTGCCACATGGCTGCGTATTGAAATTTTATTAAAGTAACGATCTGCAGTCACAAGAAAAAATGCGTAGATCATTTGTCACATGATAATATTGTGGCAAGCATTTTAGAAAAATTAAAGGCTTAAGCCCATGAATAATGCAGCGAAGAATAAATTTTCAGGAGTTTACAGATGGGAGATACTGAAACTATGTTTATTGATATTTCTATTATAAATGCATCAAAATCATAATTTCAGGCATCAAAGCGCATAGAAATATGAGTCTTCCGTTTGATAATTATAAAATATATCATGAAATAAGGATAAATGTTAATGTTACACCCTGTTATATAAATTATTTGTTACAGGTTATATATAGATATAAAATTTGAAGATCACGTGTATGTGAACGCGTATTTATTCTCAGTTTGTGATAACGTGATAGCACTCTTTTCTTCAAGTAACTTCTAACGGAACTTACCTTGTATCTTTTTCTAACTGATTTCGTGATGCGACAACATTCTTAACTGTTCTTAGGAGTAACATATACTATTGCACTTTTATAAACTAATAAATTTGACATTAAGCAGGTAGAAGCAACGTTTAAATATGGTTTCTCAACCGACTAATGCTGAGGCCAGTACCTTTTACACAGCTAATTCTGAAACTGGTATCTCATATGCGGTTAATGCAGAAGCCAGTACCCTTATACGGTTATGATTAATCAAGTGGCAAATCTTGAAACTAGCACTTCTTACGCGTTTACTGCTGAAGCCAGTACCTCTGTTGCAGTAAATTCCGAATTCAGTACCTCCTACGTGGTTAATGTTCAACCTAATAGCTCATATACGATTGACACTGAGACTAACGCCATCTGCGAAAATGCGGTTTATGATGAAGCAACTACTGAGGATGTTAACAGTATAGGTATTGGTAATACTGTAGTATGAAGTTATAGTTTGTTATAGGTTTAGCTTTAACATTTCAAGCTTGCAAACTTATTTTTTAGGTGAAACGCAATTCGATTTTTCCTTACTAAAACTTGGTTATACGTTCCCTTCATGGGATAACGTTGAAGCTTTTTTTAAAGCTTATAGTCAGTATCATGGGTTTGCTGTTATTAAAATAAGGGTTGAACAGCGTAACGATAGTGTAATTAGACATCAATCTTTTGGTTGTGAGTTTGGAGGAAAATATGTACCTAAGAAGAGTATCGACATTAACACTCACCGCAACCAACAATCGAAACGTAAAGGATGTGAATGGCATATCAATCTAAGTTTGCCTAAAAAATCCAATCACATTACAGTTACAACATTTGTAAATACCCACAACCATGAACTCGATCCTGAAAAGTGTAAATACAATGCTAAGTTTAGGTTAATTGGAGACAAAGCATTGAACGACATCGAGTTTTACACAAAAAATAGAAATCTTTCGATTACCATACAGCATCAATTACTAAGAGCAAAGTACCCTGATGCAACTTTCTTAGATATGGATCTCGCTAACGCTATTCAACATTATAAAGTTAAGTCTAAAGATCTCAAAAATGATGCCTCACAGCTTTTATTATATCTTACTGAGAAGCATCAGGTTGGAGTGTTGAATTCGAATTAGATAGTGATAACCGCCTCACCCGGATTTTCTGGATGACTCCTGAACAGATATCTCTTTGGCTAGAATATCACGATGTTATTCTAAATGATAATACATCTAAGACGAATAGATATCAGATGCCTTTGAGTTTGTTCCTTGCTGTTGATAATAACACGAGATCTCATTTAGTTGCACAAGCGTTAGTTTCTGATGAAACTATTGACTCATACCTATGGATTCTCCAGTGCTCTATGAAAGCTACAGGTGTTAAGCCTATGGTTTTGTGACAGATGCAGATCCAGCGATGGATAGTACATTAAAACAAGTGTATGAAAATACTCATTCATTACATTGTATTTTTCATATCAGCCAAAATCTTCCAAAGAATTTGAAGGGAACATTAGGTAATGCATATAATCAATTCGTCAAAGACTTTTATCTCTGCCATAACACTTTGGACGAGATGCTATTTGAGTCCAGATGGAAAATTTTATTAGAAAAGTTTCCATCTGCTTCAAGCTACCTAAATCAGACTCTTTATCCTAGTCGTTACTCATGGGCTTGTACCTTTACATCCAAAGTTTTCACGGCAGAAATTCAAACTACATCACGCGTTGAAGGGTATGTTGTAAATTAATACATTATAATTTGATTTGGTTAGAGTTAGATTCATGATTATTATTTGGTTAGGTTTATGGGTTAGAGTTTGGGTTAAGTGTAGATGTATAAATTGGGTTAGAACAATTTAAGATCATGTCAGATATTAGTTGAGATCAACTTGTCTGTCTTAATCTATGATTTAGATTGTGCATTTTTACTCTATAATGTTGACTAATATCTGACATGTTATACTAAATTCTATTCATACTATAGGTATAACAACATCATCAAAAGAGTATTACATAGCAACGGTAGTTTATGCGATTTGGTGAAGACTTTGGATTCACAATTAGAAAAAGAGGCTAAGTGGAACCGTTTTTTTGAGTATCAGACTCTGTCATCATGTGTAGGGATTGCGTCTGTTAGTAGTGAAATATTGCCTGTGTTGATCATATACTTTTAGAATACTTAACCCCACAAATTCTTTCTATTGAGCGTACTGAAATGGCACAGTGTTTATACTTTGATGCAGCATTAGTCGACTTAACAGTAATTGGATTGGATGATGAGAATGAGGATATAGATGATCGATTTACAGAAGATATTTATGATGCGAAGCAGATTTTACTTAAGTCAATGATATCAAAAGTGGATCAAATTAATATTAAAGAGATCTGGCAAATCACTGATAAATGACCTGGAAACAGCCAGAGAAAACACTTCGTTATTGTCCTTGATTCTATTTCTTATATATGTACATGTATGTCAAATATATTCCGTGGTATTCTATGTTGACATTACTTTCAAGTAATGTTGGTATCACGAATTTCTGGATTTCATATTGGAATAGTGGTGTCGTGTTGGTATTGTGATAGTAAGAAAAAAGAAATTGATCAGGAAAATGTGATTTTCACAAATTCAGATGCTAGTAAAGCTCAACAAGGTCAAAAAGCACCTTTGATTCCTCAACCTTTTACAGTTCCCCGTTCAATAGCAATAAGCAACTGAAGTGCAGCAGCCAGACGTTCTAAATTTGGTGAAATTTTGGGTCTTGCACGGCAAGCTGTGCAATTGGCTGTAGAATGTGATGATAATGATATGGAACTATGGTTGAAACGCTTTATTAATCAAAAGAAGCATCTTTTAATACAAAATGAAGAGTCTAAAGACAGTGATGACAGCGAAGAAAGTGAAAAGGAAAATAATTCCACAATCAAAAATCCAGCAATTACCAAGCATAGGGGCAGGCCTGCGACTAAAAGATTCAAGGCTGCCACAGAAAAACCTCGTCGTCAGCCATATACATGTCAAAGCTGTGGTAAGACTGGGCACAATAGTGCAAGATGTCAAATGAAAGGTGGTTAATTTAATGTTGGTGGGTTACTGGGAGGTTTGTCGATTGTTATTTGATATGTTATTTGATATGTGATGTTGTTTTTTGTGTGGTTGTTGTTTGATGTGTGATTGTTATTTGATGAGCGATTGTTATTGATGAGTGATTGTTTTTGATGAGCGATTGTTAGTGATGAGCGATTATTATTGATAAGCGATTGTTATTGATGAACGATTGTTATTGATGTGTGATTGTTGTATTATGTACGATTGCTGTATGATTGCTCCACTATATTATGATTAACTGCATCTAAGCGATTCTAGGTTATAGTACGTATGATTAATAAGATGTTTAATTGGGTAAGTATGTGCTAGAGAGAAATCAGTTATTGTATGTATGTAATGCATGTACTATCGTAGTTTTGTGTGTCTACATTATTTTGCTATTTACTTGAGCTGATGAAATAACGTGCAGGGGAGTTATTTTAATTTTGGCCCAAATTAAGCTTAATTCGAGCCAAATTTCAAAATTACACCCCTGCGCATTAATTCGGAAAATATAGTAAGACTGACTAATTGCATTGCAGTTTCGAATTGCAAGTATATACTGATATATAGTGCTGTCCCGAATCCTAGGATTTTAATTTGTACTTCGAATTTTTTATTAAAATTAATAAAAATTTGAATTTTATATATAAAGTCATATGATTTGAATTAATAATAAATATGTAGTGATAAATAACAAATGTTACATGCTGTTATAAATAAATTTGTCCTTATAAAATATATCATGAAATATAATTCGAAAAGAGCAATAATGTTATTTATTGCAATTACTAATATTTAAAAAAAAAATAACAATATGGGGTGTCTCATATTAAAAGGGCCCATTTTGCAAGTTTTCGAAAAATGAATTTTTATTAGATTTATGTAAATTTTGACACGATTAACAATTTTTCAATTTCGATTTGCATAATGAAAAATGGAGATAATGTAAAAGAAAAATTTCATGAGGTTGCTAAGGCCAAGCACATCACGGGACCACCCGATAGTCACCCGTTACCTTTAACCAATCAAAATCGTGAAATTTAAACTCAATTATCTCAAAATTGTTTATATTGCAAAATGGGCCCTTTTAATATGAGGCACCCCATATATTATTATGAATAATTACGTTTTGTGAAAGGCCTACTTTAAAAGAAATTCATTTAAACTTATGGAAGTTACAGAAAGGGACAAGCATGGTCAAATGACATCTCGTCAAAAGTGTGTTCATTGTGTAGTGGACTTTGTAAATTTAGATTGTCAATTAAAGGAACATTTAATAAAGTGTAAAATCTTCCAAAAAGTGCAAAACTTCAAGATACTGACTCTACAATATCACTGGATAAATTAGATATACGTTGATAGTATATTATCAAAAATCTTTTCTTTCGCAAGTTTTTTTTACATGTAACAATAATATGTGTAATAAATTCATTCAGATTTATGCAACGATAGTATTTGTAATTATAAAAGAAATACATATTATGCTGAAACTGAAATTATTAAACGGGGCGGTAGTTTCAAATTTTTTTTTAAATAAATAAAAATGTTGTTTAAACCGTTTTTTTTACCATACCTACAGAAAGCTAAACCACATCATTTCAAATGAGTGCCGCCAAGGAAAGCTTATCATCGGGTTTTCAATTATATTTGTGTCTAAATTTTGATCGAAGTTATTTCGACGACTACTGCACCAAATTCATGAAAATTTGTCATCCAAATTTTATAGATATGTAGAAATTCTAATAAAAATTTTCATTTAATTTGATGCAGTAGTTGTCGAAATAACTTTGATCAAAATTTTAGACACAAAGCCAGATGACAGGTTTTCCCTTGACGACACTCAAATACAGTATAGCACTTTTAAAGCAACATAGTATTTATTCTCATAAATTTTTTTTGTAATAAATATTTAAGGAATAAAATATTGTTTAAAATTTTTTGAGTTACAAACCTTTTTAATGAGTGTTCCAGAAGTTTGTTGCTTTTTTACCAACTAAAATATTTCATAACAATGATACTGAAAACAATCCAATTTCGGAAAAGACAAAGTTTTACTTGCATAAAAAAAATATTTACTTTTTAATTCTTTTATTCCTTTATCAGTAGCGTATGTATCTACAGCATGATGTATAATTACCTATTTGCATGCATAGATTTATGGATTGTAAATAATGATGCAACCTTGATATACATTTATTTTAAAAACGGATAAATTCACGTAGGCCTAATTAAAAAAAGTTTGTCTAGCATTTTTATATAGAGTTAAAGATTTGTAATACGATACAATACCTGCGTCCGTAATTGAAATATTAAATCCTTTTAAGGCTGATATTTTAACGTCGGTAAATTACAAGAAGTAAGGCTGTAATATAGGCAATTTCAATAGCTCAAAATATTTAATATGAGAATTAGATTTATTATTTGATACGTAAGATACAATTGTAAAACCATTTTTACCCGTTGAAACTCTATAATAAGGTAGAAATCGCACTTTTTTTAAAAAAAATTTAACTCTTAAAGCCTATTAAAATTCACTAGTAAGATCTTGTAATTTATCATCTAATTCTTCCTCACTATTTAGGAAATTAATAAAATTAAGAAATTTAAACTTTACAAATGTACCTATTGTTAAAGCATTTCTAATCTAGATCTACTTATCTGCAATCTTTGCTTCCAAACGATTAAAACATGCGCTAAATCAAATTTCGATGAAGACTCCTCACATATATTATGTAACTTTTTTGAATCATATGGTTTAAACACATAATCTTATTCTCAAATGTTGTGATCAACTTGAACAACAGGTCTTCTTGTAAGCATTATGAACCCATTTTAATCTCATATGTAAGCGTAATCTTTTAAATAAGTTACTATTTCCAATACAAACAGCCTCTTTTCATGTCTATTCTTTATTACCAAAATTATTGTCTACATTCTTAAATATTTTAAATATTGAAAATGAAATGTATTATAATTGTCTATAAGAAATTTACGTGATTCAAATATTGCTATTGTTAACATGGAAAAATGCATTATATAATATTTTTATTATATATTTTTCACTTTGGAAAATATCGGAACTTTGCACAAATTTATGTCCGACCATTCTCATCTATGTGTTCAGTTATTTTTTACGGAATTTTTCGGAACTTTGCTTTCCTATTTCTTAATTCCACTGACATTATACCTCTGTCTAAATTATATCTACTTTAATTTTCCTATATAAAACCTAGATGGGCAAAATGCACACGATTGTGGCTTCATACGCACGCATGAAACCCATCTCTATTCACAACAAATACAACAACAAAAATTCATTTTTGGAGTTGCAAACGCAGTTTAATGAAAGGTCATCAGTAATCGAGATCAAGGAAGGTTGAATAATAGAAGTTTAATTAGGAACTATTTCAGATTGTTTAAGAGAGATTAAAGTTATTATTCAAGACTTACACGTGTAATCCTATACGCTTCTAGTTACTCATATTTCTATAGTTCGTCAATATATTTTTAATATGAATAAAGATATATGAAAATAAACAATTTTCAGTGTGTGTAGAAAGTAAACTATTAAACAAAGGTTTGTTTTTTTAGCACAGAATTGACATTGAAAAAGCAACAAATGAATAACTTATCATAATTAATAAAGAGCATTTTTTAAAATCTAATCTAGAAAAATAAAACAAAGCAGCAAAGTTACATTATAGAAAAGAGTTACTCTGGTGTTTTAGGATGGTGAGACGCGAGCTGATGTATTAAATTGCACTCTTGTTAAGTTAGGCAATTCATGTTGAATAGAAATCTCGTACAGTCGACCTTCAATAATCATCCTCTCTAATTACAATACAACTTATAAGAAATCTCTATATACACACTTTTTATAAACACGTTTTTATCGATATTGTGTTATTATATGGAAGAAAGTTTCTATAAACGTCTCGAAAAAAATCATTATAAATATTTAACAAGATAATAAAAAGCAGAAATAAAAATTAATCATGTACTGTACTTTATATTATTTAAAATAAAAAATGAACTTGATCATTCGATCTTGCTAAAATAATCTGAAAATGCTTTAGTATCAAATAGCTTGCTAGCATATAGGTCTTGTGAATGTATTTGTTCAATTGGTTCTGGTTTAGTCTTAAAATTTCTTTTTTTATTTCATTATCATCTTCTTGATCTATTTCATCTAACCAACGAGTGGTTATTTCAATAATTTCTGCTGCACTAGGTCGTTTATTAAGATCTTTATCCATACATTTCATGCCTAATTTAATGTAACAATCAGGTCCTAAACATTTAGATCTTGTTCTACTAATAATTTTCGATACAAGGTCACTATTGAACTGAACTCCATCAAATGCTCTTTGTCCGGTCGAAATTTCTGTCATGATAACTCCAAGACTGTAAATATCTGACGTTTGAGTGTACAGTTGATCTATCAAAATCTCAGGCGCTATATATGGCAGAAACTCACTAATTTTTCCATCCTTATTATTTTCTGGAAAGTCCAAGATCAGTAATATATGCACTATGCAGAGACGATATTGAAATATTTCCGCTATGTAAATCTCTATGAACAAGTTCTTGCGAATGAATTGACTCGAGATCCAAAGTTATACTGTGCAATATACTCAATTTATCTTTCCATTCTAATTGTGATACTTGTATAAGATTTTGTCGTAACGAACCTGTTAGTGCATAATTCAAAACAATAATATAATCACCATAATTATTTCTTGATACTCCTTTACTTTTCAAGATTGAAGGATTTTTGTAACCAATTTCATAGTAATTTTTTAATTCCTGAATAAATTCTTTCTCATTTTATTTGAATCACGAATCACTTTAAGCGCAACATTTCCCCATATACTATTAATTCTATCAAATCAACATGCATAATATACAGTTACAAATACTCACTTTCCCTTTCCTTTATATCCCTGAATATATTATAATCAATCCAAAATATTTTAAACCTCTCATCATATAATATTCTCTTAAGTTCAGGATTAATATGATCTGGTGATTTATTAGTTTTCAAAAGACTTCTACATTTTGCAAACCAATAATTTGTACTCTGAGTATCTTTCTTTGTACCGATGCCATTTCGATAAAAACTAGAAAGATTGCTCATTGCTTCTTTAATACCCATATTAGCAGATTTTTTATAGTATTCAAATGCTTTACTAAAATCTTGATCAACCCAGATTCCATTATCATAACAATAATCGACATTTTACATTCCATTCTAAAATGTATAATGTGATTTAGAAATACATAAATGTGGTGAATTAAAATATCGTTTTTAATCTTAAAGTAAAAATAACAAAATAAAACTAACCACATAAAGTATAGAAAATAACAAAATAAAACTAATCACATAAAGTATAGAAATTACAAGTCAATGTAGTGGTTGTATATACAAATATAAAAAATCCAATTGCATCAAAAATAAAATTATAATTTACATAATTTGGATTGAGATCTAGTGCTATTTCTGGATCATCCAAACAAAATTATAGCATATCTACTGATTTTTTAGGTCATAGTATCTTAGAATAAAACAATTAAAAATTTTTTTTTTCTAATTAACTTATGGGAACAACTCAGGTGTCTCCTAACTTCAAGATTTTTTTTAATGACTGGTCTAATAAGATTTATAATTACATCTTTATGCTTTGAAACAAATATTGAAAAATTCTATTATAAATTAGGCTAATATGTAGCATTGTATATCTGGAGCCTATAATTATCGAATATAATCATATATCAAAACCGTAACTTTAGTCATGTATGTGGACAGACATCCTTTTCAAAGTTATGTTCTTGATTTTTATAACATGGAGCATCAACATCATAACTTTTGATGCATCAAAAATGTACCTTTTGATGCACTTTACTCATCCATTAGGTAACTTTCGCTATGCTTTGGAAAATAAAAAATAAATACTTTTTATATTATTTAGCATGAAAAAACCAGATTTAAAATGGTGTTACATGGAGGAATTGACCCGTAACCCCTTTCCAAGTAACTAATGATTGAGTATGGGATAATAGGATATTCATTCCTGAAATTACCTGATTATGTGATTACAAATTACTTATCAACATCTCAAAGAAGAACTTAACTATTTTGTGTACATGTTCTGCAGTCATTCAGTGATTACTTAAACTTCTAAACCATCTGACATGGATGATTAAAGATAGATCATTATATGGACTAACTTAACATTGCCCTAAGCATTTTATCATATATATGTTATGCCTCAGATCGATTCTTGAGTCAGATCTAATCTGACGTATGTCAAATGAATGACACACGTCACCTGGCAATTGGTCATCTGATATGCATCAGTCGTAGTCTGAGATGCGTCAGTTGTAAACTGACACACTGTTTATTGTACTACCAAAATGTTTATCCAACCAGGTTAATATTTGTAACCATGGCTTGCATGATGAACAACTGTTCACAAAAATTGTTCTTACTCATGATTTTTGACTAATCAAAATTCAAGACAGGTGTAATGTAAACAATTGAAATAAAATTATTTTTTTACAAAATACAGAAATAACATGAAAAAACCACCTTCTGTGACCTAAATAAAAATGCTCCTCATGAAATTTGACTAACAGAAACTCTATAATTCTAACTCTACCTTTATCTTAACCCTAACCCAATCTAAATTATAGGGGCAATTTTTGTGTGTGCACTACCTAAGTCCACAATGAACATTGTATAACAAAATTAAACCAACACTATCCTAAGCTCAATCCTAGTGAAATGATATACAAAACTATGAAGAAATCTATCACAAAATGATGAAAGAACTCACTAATATGTGATGAAAAAACACACTTTCAAATGAAGAAAAATCTCAATGTGAAGCAACAAAAGACTCTCTATGAAATGATTAATAATATACTGTATCATAAATGACACTATTAAATGATAAAGGGGCTTACTGTAAATAACAAAAAAACCATCTTGAAATGATGAAAGGACTTGTCTTAAAACAGTGAAAGACCTACTATGAAATGATAAAAGAATCTATTATAAAATAACAAAAGACCTACTGTACTATAAACAATGAAAGACCCACTATAAAATGACAAAAAGACTCAATGACAAAAAAACTCACCTTTAAACAATGAAAGGACTTACTATAAAATGATGAAAAACTACCTTTAAATGATTAAATCATTCACTATAAAACAATGAAAGAACTACAAAGGAAACTTCTATGAAATTACAAAAGGCCTATTGTAAAATAATAAAAGAACCTATAATAAAATAATAGTAAAGCAACAAATGAACCCACTATAAAACTCAAAAATAATAATTTCAATGATAACTCTAACTGCTTTAAATACAACAATACCAGAGATAACTCAAACTGCGATGACACCAATGACAGCTCTAAGAGTGAACAAATATATCTTTTTTTTATGATTTTTAAGATCTTGTGTCAGACTACAACTAACACATGTCAGATAACCAATTGCTAGATAATGTGCATCACATGAAAATCAACAACTGACACATATCAAATTAGATATAATGCAAGAATCAATCTGAGGCACAACATATATATGCTTATTACTCAATTAGTAAATACTATACATGTAATTATTAAGTTAATATATTCATTCTTATATTAGTGATATAAAGATTAGAATGATGCATGAAGCAACATTAATAACACTTCAAAAAAGGGCCAATAGCTGTGCTATAGAACAATTTTAGTACTAAACTGGCCTTATTACAGCTTCTATTTACCCAAAAAGGCATATCTAGCTCATGCTTTTTAAAAATAAGTATGAAATAATCAAATATAGCATAGCAAAAGCAGCTGAAAAGTTGAAACTATCTCAAATTAATTATGACAAATAAAGGCTAATTGAAGACAAAAATCTAAAGAACAAGTTCAAACAGATAAATATAAAATAGAAAAGTTCAGGTTTATCAGAACACTACAAATGCCAATACAAGCCAGTTTTATTATAATTATATTTATTTTGTTATAGTTTTTAATAATATCTTTGGGTTAATTACAATAATATAGAAGTCTATTTAGTGGTATACTTGCTGCTTCTCTTTGCCTTATATACTCTTTAATATAAAACCTATTTTTAAAATTTGCAAGCCATCCTTTAGAATCTCCAAAATTACTAATCTGTAACTTTTTAGCAAAGTGAAAATCTTTATATTGAATAATTGCTTCCGTAATTGTTTGGTAATAAGCTTTAGCTTTTAAAATCTATAAACTTAATACTTCTTTAAGCTAGAAGTATTTAGCTAAACAATTTCACTCTGATTTTGCTTGTATTAAATTTTGATTAATTAAAAGTTAGTAATCTCACTCTTAAATATCTGTGTTTACTATCCTGATCAAAACTCGACATTATAAACTCCTACTTTGATAATATATACTAAATCACATGATTTTAATATATACTCTTTCGAATAAGTTTTCAAAAAAAGCACAGGTTGTCACATAAGACCTGTAGACTTTTCCTTATTGCTAACATGTGTATTTTTTTTTGCCTCAATATTTTGCCACGAGATTACACAATCATTGACACCTAAATCATTGCATCTACAAATTTCTAATATTCTCATTTGCTACGTAGCAGCACATGATATTCAGATGAAAATATACGACCAAGATTGAACACTGATCCGGTCCAACCCTACCCCGTTTAGAACACTAGGCGTGCATAAAGAGAAAAGCTTCTAAAAAAACAAATTATAGAAGAGTAAATTAAATGCTAACTAAAAAAAGGTATTGCTTTGTAAAATCGATATGTTAAAAAGGTATTGCTTTGTTAATAACTTTATTTTGTATTCTGAATGGTAATTCCGAGTATCACATGATTTTCCGGAGCACTATTATAATAATAATGTAAACGCATTTTTGAGATGCTTTCAGAAATGGTATTTCCAAATAAAAATCTAGTTTTTATCAAAGATTTCCAATCCTACACGAATATTTATTGTAACCAAGATGTGAATTTAATTAAGCAATTTTGTATCTTAAGATTATTCATTGTGAAAGGTAGATTAAATATGTATGCATATGTACAAAAGACTCAAATGTTAAAGAAACAATGGAATGAAGATTGTGAAACAATATATGGATGATGATAAAGATATGCGATAAAATAGTAACAGTAGCACAATATTTGTTTGTGACTATATAGTTAGATAGAAAATTTCGCGGATTTGTTTTTTCCTACATCATCTTAAAAAAACCATAAAAAGAATATTCTCTAAACTTTTCATTAACATTTCAGCTAAAACAACATGGGATGTAATACTTCTAAAAACATAAGCACAAGAGATGTGAAAATTGTCATTTCAAAAGAGAATGTGGTCAATACAATTTAAACAACAATAATTGATGATGAAAAATATCCGTTTCCAAAAAAAGACTACGGAGGGGACAGATTGGCTTTACAACAGCATATATTTAAATACATATGGCAAAGTAACTTTTCGGCTCCAGTTAACGAAAAATTAGGAACTGGTGCAAAGGTTTTAGATTTTGGGTAAATTAAAATAAATTTTAAATTAACTATATATAAATTAAAAGTATTTTTTACATTTAAAATATTTTAAAACATTCGTATTTACTTGTTTAAAAAAATTTTATATTTAATATTTTTTAAAAATTTTTAAATAAAAGTTGTGGAACAGCTACTTAGCTCATAGATTTATCATCACAGTACCCAACATTTTTTGGAGTCGAAAGACCCTCTTCAGTACTTCGTAACCTCACTACATCGGTACCATCAAGCATTTCACTTCAATACTGTGACATTTTATTCAAACTTCCATTCGAGGATGAAACATTTGATTTTATATATGTGCGATTTATGGCTTCTGAAATACTTGATAATAAATTTAAAGATATAATAAATGAATTGACAAGAATTTTAAAAATTGTGTTGATGTTCGAGGTTGTAACAAAGGAATAGAAACACAAGAATTTATGTCTTCAGGTAATTAATTTTCCATATCAAACGTTATAAAAATGAAATATTCAATTTTTTAATAAGCAGAATTCAAATACATATGCTTATTATGAATAAATTTTTAAGATTATGCGATTGCTTATTTATGGTGTAGGTGGATTCCGAATCAACTTAAGTGGATTTTGAATCCCAAAACAACTTAAGTAGAAATAGGATTAAAAATTTTAAGCAATACAAATTTCAGCAATAAATAAATATGTAATTTTTATAGCGAAAAACATTAGATTATCTATTTTCTATTACATTAATAAAGAACAAGCTATCTAAAAAAAATATTAACATTGTTATTTGTTATTGAAATCTAT